TGTTTCTGCTTATAGTTCGATAACTTCTCCGCATAAGTTGAAATATTTGTCGGCAACAGGAGCAAAACACCATCCAGATGGTCATCATCCAACCTTGTTCGAAAAACGACTCTTAGTATATTTCATTTTCGAAAAAGTTATTCACAAGCATGTGTACTTCCAAATGATGATACCAGTCAATAGACTTTTATATTTTCCGCTTGGCAAAACATATTTCTTGTAAAAGTCAGCAGTGGATTCACAATTACATTTTGATTTTAAAAATTCGTCGCATTGTAAGTTGATTAACTCCAACTGATATTTTTCTGCCGCTTGAACCACAAATTAATTAAATAATTTGTGTCCAGGTGTTAAAGTTGGCGGTCCGGCCAAAAATCCTTCGCGAGCCGGATGTGGCCCAGGGGACCAAGAGTTTCCGACCCCCTAATACAGATTTTCTCGATGCGTGGCAGCGTTAATGAAGGTGAATAAACTGAATCAAGTAAATGTGCTTTGTACTACTGTAATATTTGTTCTTCTATTGTTCTGATTACATTTTGGGAAGGAAGTGACAAGACTTTCGGACCACCCTGTACACTTAATTTATGATATAGCACTTATCGTAGGGGGGGGGGTAGGGTTTAATAATAGTAAATCCCGACATGTTTGATTATGTAACTAAGTTTAAACTTAACACTAGATTGCAATATTTCAGTCTTACGTTACGTTAAATATAAAACCGTTTATAAAAACTTAAAACGGGGATCGCCAATCTTTTTACTTCAGCAGGTCAGACATGGAGGTTTGGTTAGATTAAAAGCGTGTAAAAGCTTGATATATGGGAATTTATTTATACACCACTTATACCCGTAAGACTATTATAGCCACGTTTGTAAAATTAGCAAATAATATTTAAAAATGACAATGGAGTTTGACGATGCAACTGAATAAGGGATAAAAGTATTTTTTAATTCATTTAATTTCCAATAACTTAAATAAAAATTTCAGACATAAACTTATTTATTCTAGTGGGTAAGTTTAATAATAGTAAATTTCGTCATTATTTATTATGTAACTAAGTTTAAACTTAACCCCAGATTGCAATATTTCAATCTTACCTTAAATATAACTATACGTAAAAACCTAAAACAGTGGTCGGCAACATTTGGGCCTCCGCGAGGTCAGATCGTATGTGAGTAAATAGACATTGGGTCAAATAAACGCCATGAAAAAAAAATTTGAAATATTGACATTTATTTACACCCCTAAAGTTGTGATATACACAATTGTAAAATTATAAAATTTATATTTATAAATGACAAGCAAGTTTGACGATGGAATTGAGTCGGGGCTAAGCCGAAAGTACTTTTAATTATTTTAATTGTCAATAACAACTCCAGACAATTTTTTTTAAACTCTTCTGTTTATAGATACATGTTGCAAAATAAATTCCTTTTGCATTTGCTTTGATAAAGTCCATGAGGGAATGAAACGTGTCGGTAAAGTTTTCTTTTTGTCTTGATTATATTATGGAAAATATTTGCACTCCGTTAATCCTACAAAACGGAAAAACAAAGATGCTGGAAGAAATTTATTAAATCTTCCTTGTCGGTTGTATTGAATGAAAGATGTTTGAAAGAAAGGTTACTACCCATATATATATATATATATATATATATATATATATATATATATATATATATATATATAAAAATGCTCGTATTTAGGTAGACGCTCTGTTTATATATTAAACGGTGTATTTATTTTCGTCTGCTGGCCTGAATATTCGAGAAATCTTAGAAAAATTTGCCGGTGAGCGCATATTTTTCTTTAATAAGATAAAATCTGTCTGATTACTAAATCCATCCTTCATTTTAATTATATATATATATATATATATATATATATATATATGCGATGGATAAATTGTCTAAATTACGCAAAAATTAAAATAACGCTGACATCTTATAATAGATATATTTATTTAAATTACGCAAAAATATCTTTAAATACTAAGGAGTAAATTTATTCAACAAAATCGCCGCTAGCATCAATCACGGCTTCCAGACGACTTCAAAATCTTCTGCATCTCTTCTGGACGATCTCCTTGTTTAAGTTGGTAAATGATGCCATAATCTTTGCCTTCATTTCATCTTTAGTGTTAGCGGTTTTGTTGGTCTCTCGCTCAACTGTGCCCCACACACAATAATCAAAAGGGTTGCAGACTGGGGAGTTACGTGGCCAGATTTAAGGGGTGATGTGGTTGAAGAAATTCTCTGACAGTCATGACAATGTTCTCTTGCTTGTGTGGCATGGTGTAGAGTACTGTTGCCAAACATAGTGTCTTCCCTCTTGACCTAGGGCAGTATTACCTTCTCAAGGCACTCGATGTAGACTGAATCTGAGGTCCTCAACAACAAATTCGGGAGTTATTTTCATATCAGACCAGTCAGCGGGAATTTTCCGAGCTGCCGTGCCTTCGTAATCACCATTAGACTCATCCAACTCTTTCCAAATCCTCTGCACTGTCCTCAGATTGTCACCTAAACACTCTGAAATGTTTCGTATTGGAGGTTCCTGCGCGAATTTCAAGCAGTACAGCATGCTGCTTCCAAATTTCTGCGTCATGGTGCACTTTTTCTCAAATACGGTGCCCAGCTGACCCGACTATACTCCGCGGTCGACAAAGCGCATACGCGAAATTAAAAATGGCGACAATTTACCCATCGCACCCTCTGTGTGTGTGTGTGTGCATATATATATATATATATATATATATATAAGATCAAACATGGTCATGATTGTTTAAAATTTTCCCCAGGAACAGAATTTTTTGTCGCTATATATGTAACGATTATAGTGAATGAAACTTTAGACGTTTTTTTTTTTTTTTTTTTTTTTTTTTTTTTTTTTTTTTTTTTGTTTTGTTTTAACAAATCCTACTCGTGATATCAGAGATTTTATAAACAAAGAACGTTTATAGAATTTTCTCACTTCGCCACGAGTGCAGTTAGAATAATTCCCAGATTTTAGTCTTTTGGAAGGATATTGGTAATGTGAAGCAAAAGATTCGATTATTCGAAAGTCCACTGAGCATCATTTATCTTTAACTAACACATTCACCGCTTTCTTGGATATTGGAGCCTTCGTATAATGACGTTTTTGTTAGAGATACTAGTAAAAATAAAAATGCTGTATAAAACTATTTCTGTTTTCTTGGTAATTAAAATTAAATTTAATTTTTAAAGAATAATACACTAAAACAGGCCTGCATGTGAAACGCCACGTTAATTGCAGAAAATTAGCCGCAGGCCGCAAGTTAACTGAATGTGAGTCAAATAGTATGAATCCTGGCTGGGTGCTTCATACGTTCGGCCTTGTGCCACTTCTAAGCTACGCTTAGTAACTTGCTATACAGAAAGGGATAATGATTTTTTTTTTTTTTTGACAGAGGGTTAAAAGGATTAATTAGGTACAAGGATTTATATATCGGCTGAACAAAGTCAGGCTTTCCGCAAAACTGATTTATTCGTATGCAAACAGTTGCCGAGTTTATTCTGATAAACACAAAAAAATTTACTATTTTGAAAACCCCTTGCGGCTTACACTGGGCAATCTCGCGAGCTACATGCGACCCACGGGATGTATTTTTTGTGCACGCCTGGGCTAAAGCGTTTTCGAAATTGTTTTTTTTCCTCTTCTATATTACTGTGATGTATTTACCAGTCATTATCTTTATTTTTTTATTTTTTTATCCCCTCCCCAATCGTTCTGTAAGCCAAGATAAATATATGTAGAGACATTAGAGATGTTTCTACAGAAGGATGCTGACCATACCATGGACAGAGCATGTAAGGTTTAAAGGAAAATGAAAAAGACAGTTGACATTTCTAAAATACATAATGAGGAAAGAAGGCTTGGAAAAGTTGACACTCAGAGGATATTGATATCAAGAGGAACAGAGAAAAACAGCGAATAACTCATCTAGCGTGTATTTGTATAATTGAATGCAGAACATGGAGCGGAAGCGATAGTAAAAAGACAAACTTTGCTCAGAGCTACAAAGGATAAGAATTTGTGGGGAGCCATGATCGTTCATGTCCTGAAAGGACACGGCACCTAGAAGATTGGCAGATACTTTTGTTCAAGCCGAACAAATCGTTACTGAAGTAGCCAAATCTGGACTGTGTGGGTGTCGTAAAAACTGTCGACCTTCAAGCCACAAGTCCAATACTGTTGTCATTGGGATAAATCTGTTGGTTCCTCTGGCAACGTCTTTTAAATGTCTTTGCCAAGTGCTATACACAGGGTTTCGTCTTAACCTTCTCAGTAAATGTCATCATTCTATTGATTTTACTTGACAATCCGCCGATCATTCATTGTGACGTGATAAAGTTGAGGGTAAAATGTATGTTCGCTCTCGCCTTTGTCCCGTATGCTATTTTACCGAAAAATTATTCTTAAATAAAAAAAAAAAAAAAAAAGTCTTTGAGTTATGTCCGGAAAGTATCCATACAACCCTCCCTCACACAAAAAAGGGGGGGGAAGCCTATTTAAAACCAAGCGTTTTAGTCCCTTTCAAAGTATTTCACTTCGGACCTCGGATAATTATTCCAGCGTCCCTTCTACGTTTCGAGTTAAGTCTGGCGCAAGAGTGGAGCGATTTCGCAGCACCAAAGTAATGATCTGCTAGACTAATTCGTTATCCCTCTATGGCATGTGCCCAGTTATTTACCAATCCTAGCTCAGCTACACACAAATCAAAGAGTAGGTCACCTAGTGAGGATCATTGATTGATTAATTAGTTTTATTACGATTTTTTTTTTTTTTTTTAAGATAATGATTTTAGTGATACGTCTTACTAATTAACCCATAGATTTCGGGAAAGAAAAGGTGTATTCATACCTTTCTCAAAGGTATTTTGCGCGTAAGTAAATATAAGCAATACAACTGAAATTGGAACTTGGCCCTCCGATTAACAATTCCTAGCCATTATCAATTACACCACCCGTACATCCAAGCTTACAGCACCTTGTACTCTTAAGCGGTCACCCATCTAGGTACTGATTCGACGTTGCTTAACTTCGGTGTTCGTACGGGAGCTGGTTTTTTAACGTGAAATGGCCGTGAGCCGTACCTTCTATGTATTTGAACTTCTGTACTTGTTTGATTTTTAACTTTCCCAGTTCGTAGAGATTTTCCAAGCGTAGCTTAAATGTGGCACAAGGCCGAAAGTATGGGGCATCCAGTGAGAATCGAACTCACTTTTCAGTAGTAACTGATATAGCAAGACAAGCTTGCTAACAATTACACCACGCCGAGGTGCGCAACTTTCCCAGTTCGTAGCTCGTATCTCGGTCTGTCCCTGTTAATGACAACCTTATGTTCTGTCTTTTCCTATTACGGACACTTATATTTAAAATCAGAAAGTGACAGTTGAAATTTCCGGGACACATGATTGCGAAAGCGATCTTGGAAAATTTAATATTCACCGGACATGCTGAACGGACGAGCAGATGGAAACCGCGAATAACCTTCGTAATGTGTCTAAATGAATGGATGGCAAACAGCAATGGTGAAGAGTTCCGTGTTGCTTTGAACAACAAGAGACAGGAAGTTACGGTAAGACATGATCGCTAACATCCTGAGGGGTCACAGCTCCTGAAAAAAAAAAAGAACGATGTCGATCTTGTCTTTAGAATAGTAGGTATTTATCCGCGCGCTCTAAGTCGCGGCGGAATGTGACACAAGGTCGGAATTTAACATAAGATTTCTGGAAAGGCGTTCAAAAATTGCTCAAGTTGCCTCGGCACTTCCCCTTTTGGGGACGCTTTAGGCTCTGGGTAATGACCACAGCTACCTCCCACAGAGGTACTACCGGTGGGGACGCATGGCCTCGAAGGTGCTCGATATTCTAAAATTTTCTTTAGACATCTGAAATATCTCAGTCAGGCTTTCCGCAAAACTGATTTATTCGGATGCGATCAGTTGCCGAGCTTATTTTGATAAACATAGGTACCTCCACGAAATCGCTAAAAAAAGAGCATAGCTTGATGAAAAAGACGCCAACCTTGCCGAAAACAAAATTTTATTGTCTAAATGCTTATGTTATTATTTAAAGGAAAGACCAAAGTTTTTTTAATTATTTTTAAAAATTTTCCCTTTTTAGAAAATTCTAAATTTTGATTAAAAAAACCTTGTTTCTATTTGTATCAGCGGAACTAGTAAATAACATAGACAATTTTAGCACGTTTTTTTGGTATGACACACATTAATTTGAAAAAAATCGTGCAAAAAATAGAAATAATTATCGGATGTTAATGAAACTTTCAGGAACTATTCACAGATGATCGAAATTATTATAAATATGTTTTTTTTTTATGAAAGTCATGGTAGAAATATTTTTTTTGAAAATATTTATTACCGCCCCCATAACTAATTTTATGAAAACGCTAGAAATTCGATCGCATCGGTTTTAGTGATTACAAATAATTAAAAGCACAGGGCTTTGAGGAATGCAAATCATGTTTTTTTTTTTGTTTTTAATTGGATACCCAGTACCTAAAAATCAGCTCTGAATTGTAACATACAAAACTCAATAAAACAAATATATTATTTAATTTCAAATGCTTTTATTTGCTTTTAGTTGTTTTTTATGAATATGGACAATATTTTCTGAAAGCAAAAATATTTTTCGATGAAAAATGAATTTTAATACAATTATTTGTTATTTCATTAATTATAATAGATTTTACATTTAAGTTATAAAATTAGTTAAAAGCCGCACAGGCTTTCATAAGTGTCCTTATGAGATAGATCTTTTTTTAGTGCGTTGTAAATTGTATCATTTTGACTAATCAGAAGATCCCCAGTAATTAAGAAATGTAATTTTGTGCTTATAATCGAGCTGTAATTATAAAATACGGAAGACCAAGCAGAATATAATTAAGTTGCGTTATTTGAGTTAAGCATTGTTCTCCGCTGTTAAGGCCTTTACTTTTGCGAAACACGTGTGGAGAAGTTAATTTGATTTTCAATTTCAAATGAAAAAGGTTACCTACAAGTATCAGTATCATCTTATGAAATTTATATGATCTTTTTTTATATTAATCTCAGTTACGACATTTTTCCATAAATGAAATATCAAAATTAATAATAAAATGAATGCAAATACAAATAACAGTAGAATGTAATAAATGTACATAAAATTATAGTATTTTATGTACAATTCTGATAAAATTTCATAAGAAAGGTACCTATAAATTAATTAGATACCTTTCTTAAGAAATATGAAATTTAATGTCACTCTTAACAGTTTTATTTTAATTTCTTTAGAATATATTTCCCATAAAGCATCATAAACGTAAAGGTGAAAGCTAAGTACAAAAAAAAAATTAGACCGCTGAAAGTTTTCGTTAAAAATAACGGGGTAAATAATTTGTTCACGTAAATGTAAATTATTTCACTTTTCTCCTTCCGTAGAACAAATTAGCCTCATGGAATTCGTAAATATATCATTCATCACATGTCAAGAGACGCGAAAGTTTATGACCTGCTTTGTTTTATTTTCAAATTTCATCTTTTGGCACAAAAGCTAAGTTAAGTTTGGTTCAAAATATTTTAAATAAACATTATAATTTCTGATTTTCTTAAAATAAGTTTTGAAAAAAATGATAATTGATATTTAAAAAAATTTCAAAGTCAGATTTCCAGTTTTTTTTAAAATGGAAAAAAATGGTCAATTTTGCTGACTCAAAAAAAACTAGATTTTTAACGAAAATTTCGGACGTGCTAGGAACGATTAAAAAATGGAAAAAAAATACCCCCAAAATACTTTGACCTTTCCTCTTAATGAATAACAAACATTTAGACGATAAAATTTTGTTTTCGTCAAGTTTGGCGTCTTTTTCATCATGCTATGCTCTTTTTTTAGCGATCTCGTGGAGGTACCTAGATAAACACAAAGAAAAATTTACTATGTTGAAAACCCCATGCGGTTCAGACTGGGCAATCTTGCGAGCCACATGTGACTCGCGTGGTCTTTTTTGTTCTGTGCACGCCTGGGCTAAAGTGTTTTCGAGACTGGCTTTTTTTCCTCTTCTATATTACTGTGATGTGTTTACCAGTCATTATCTTTTTTTTTTTTTTTTTTTCCCCCCCAATCGTTCTGTAAGTCAAGATAAATATATGTAGAGGCATTAGTGATGTTTCTACAGAAGGATGCTGACGATACCATGGACAGAGCATGTAAGGTTTAAAGGAAAATTAATAAAAAAGAAAGAAAGAAAAACAGTTTAAATTTCTAAAATACATAATGTGAGTTTGAGGTGATGGATGCTTCGATAAGTTTCTGTCTGATAAAGTTGCTCACTACAAGCAGATGACATGTCGCCTTTTTGCTATCTCTACGATCGTATGTATACGAGAGTACAGGCCTGTATTAACGTCCGACAGGGATGTACCGTATAACAATATTAAATATCGCAAGAAGTTTACAATTTTTTATTTATTCTATTTTATTTTTATGCAGAAGCCATAGCTATCCAAAATGACATAAGTGAAAAATTACTTACCATTAAGTTTCCAAAATACAAACATCTACCGTTGAAAAGAAAATTTATTTAGGATTAATAATCTCTTAGGGAGTCGTGTCCCAAAATGAACTTGTTTTGAAATATTTTCATTTAAGTGGATCCCATTGGTGATATTATAGACATGATCTGAAATAATCTCTCTATTGAATTTGGATCAACATTTTACATGGCTTCTAAAAGCAAAAAAGGAAAAAAATGCTATATTTGAATAAATTTCTCGTGCCATTTTAACACTGTTTATTGCAAAAATCAAACGAGGAATGTTTTAAAGCTTGTAAAATATTGACCCAAATTCAGTAGATTACAAATACATTCGTATTCACAGGCACATCCCAACCGTACGTTATCACTCGCATTAAATTAAAGGCACAAGAACTATGGAATAGATTTAACATTTTCAAGGTAAAAGAAAATGTGATTTACCAATAAATACATAAACTTGTGTGTTTGTATACATATATGTGTAGATAAGTGTTCATTTTTTTTAATCATTTCACCCCAAGCAAGGCTTTATTAGCCACTAAGACACAAGGGGTAACTGAGTGTGAAAGAATAAGAAAAAAGAGAAACATTATTAAGGAGTGAGAACAATAAAAGAGGAATCAATAAACGTTTGACACTGGATTTACATTTTTAAAGATCGAAGTTTGCGGGGAAGCATGGAGCCGGGAGAGTTCTACAAACGAGAAGTGCGAGAAAAGAAACTTAGCATAGAACTTACGGTTGCATCTAACCAATTGATGAGACCTTGTTGCCATTCTACCACTGCGCTTAAATTCATAATGTTTATGTAATTCATATATATATATATATATATATATATATATATATATATATATATATATATATATATATATATATACTGGACACTCGTATTCGAGGATACCCGTTTACTAAGGCGGCTCGCCAATCCCTATTGCAGACGCACGCACAGAGCCAACCTGTGGTTTATACTGCAACTATTCTGAGCAGACCTTAGTTACAGTTTCTGAGAGAGAACGTGTTATCTAGCATGATCAACAATCTGAACAACGCTAGCATATTCAAACCCTCGGTCACAATGACTTGTGACTTAGTGCTAGCACAGCTATCGACGGCCCCTAAGTGTTCCGTCTACCCAATTTCACTCACAAGGCTTGGGCCAACCTGTGGTATGGTTTTCAGGCACTTTTCAAAGATCGACCCCCTCCAGAGGGATAACGTCAGGAAGTCTACTTCTTGACAAACCAACCGTGTTGAGATTTGAACCCGGGTCCCATGGTCAGAAAACGAACGTTCTAACCTAGGTACCTCCACGAGATTGCTAAAAAAAGAACATAGCATGATGAAAAAGACGCCAAACTTGATGAAAACAAAATTTTATCGTCTAAATGTTTGTTATTATTAAGAGGAAAGATCAAAGTATTTTGGGGGTATTTTTTTTTACATTTTTTTTTTAAACGTTCCTAGCACGTCTGAAATTTTCGTTAAAAATCTTCTTTTTTTTTTTTTGAGTCAGCAAAATTGACCATTTTTTTTTCCATTTTAAAAAAAAAAAAATCTGACTTTGAAATTTTTTTAATATCAATTATCATTTTTTCAAAATTTATTTTAAGAAAATCAGAAATTATAATGTTTATTTAAAATATTTTGAACCAAACTTAACTTAGCTTTTGTGCCAAAAAGATGTAATTTGAAAATAAAACAAAGCAGGTCATAAACTTTCGCGTCTCTTGACATGTGATGAATGATATATTTACGAATTCCATGAGGCTAATTTGTTCTACGGAAGGAGAAAAGTGAAATAATTTACATTTACGTGAACAAATTATTTACCCCGTCATTTTTAACGAAAACTTTCGGAGGTCTAATTTTTTTTTTTTTTTTTTTTTTTGTACTTAGCTTTCACCTTTACGTTTATGATGCTTTATGGGAAATATTTTCTAAAGAAATTAAAATAAAACTGTTAAGAGTGACATTAAATTTCATATTTCTTAAGAAAGGTATCTAATTAATTTATAGGTACCTTTCTTATGAAATTTTATCAGAATTGTACATAAAATACTATAATTTTATGTACATTTATTACATTCTACTGTTATTTGTATTTGCATTCATTTTATTATTAATTTTGATATTTCATTTATGGAAAATGTCGTAACTGAGATTAATATAAAAATAAGATCATATAAATTTCATAAGATGATACTGATACTTGTAGGTACCCTTCTCAGTTGAAATTGAAAAATCAAATTAACAAAAGTAAAGGCCTCAACAGCGGAGAACAATGCTTAACTCAAATAACGCAACTTAATTATATTCTGGTTGGTCTTCCGTATTTTATAATTACAGCTCGATTATAAGCACAAAATTACATTTCTTAATTACTGGGTATCTTCTGATTAGTCAAAATGATACAATTTACAACGCGCTAAAAAGATCTATCTCATAAGGACACTTATGAAAGCCGATGCGGCTTTTTAACTAATTTTATAATATTTTAACAACTTAAATGTAAAATCTATTATAATTAATGAAATAACAAATAATTGTATTAAAAATTCATTTTTCATCGAAAAATTTTTTTGCTTTCAGAAAATATTGTCCATTTTCATAAAAACAACTAAAAGCAAAAAATAGCATTTGAAATTAAATAATATCTTTGTTTTATTGAGTTTTGTATATTACAATTCAGAGCTGATTTTCCGGTACTGCGTATCCAATTAAAAACAAAAAAAAAATGATTTGCATTCCTCAAAGCCCTGTGCTTTTAATTATTGTAATCACTAAAACCGATGCGATCGAATTTCTAGCGTTTTCATAAAATTAGTTATGGGGGGGTAATAAATATTTTAAAAAAATATTTCTACCATGACTTTCATAAAAAAAAAACATATTTATAATAATTTCGATCATCTGTGAATAGTTCCTGAAAGTTTCATTAACATCCGATAATTATTTCTATTTTTGCACGATTTTTCAAATTAATGTGTGTCATACCAAAAAAACGTGCTAAAATTGTCTATTTATTTACTAGTTCCGCTGATACAAATAGAAACAAGGTTTTTTAATCAAAATTTAGAATGTTCTAAAGAAGGAAAATTTTTAAAAATAATTTTAAAAATTTGGTCTTTCCTCTTAATAATAACATAAGCATTTAGACAATAAAATTTTGTTTTCGGCAAGGTTGGCGTCTTTTTTCATCAAGCTATGCTCTTTTTTAGCGATTTCGTGGAGGTACCTATTCTAACCACTCGGATATATATATATATATATATATATATATATATATATATATATATATTTGTGTATAAAATATAATGCTGGTATTTTTACTAAAAAATATATTTTTATACTTTTACAGTGTTCTGTTTTTGTTTAGGGGGTTCACTATTTGCCCATAGCTAGGACCCTAACAGGTGCTACCACCTTGGGTCATACCCAAGACGAGTAATATATAGTTGAGAAATGTGCAACAATATTAATGGAATGGCTGGTAGAGGTGAATTTACTTTACCATTCCAACATAAGCATTATTATTACCGCGATATGGTAACACTTTGTTCGTGTTTGACAGAAAACACATATTTACAGAACATGAAGCCAAAGTTTCGTCAGGCAGCGAAAGCAATGCACGTTACCAGATATGGAAAAGAGAATTGAATTAAGGTTTTACTTGAGAGTTGGTTTGTTCGTACGTGGCATCAGCGATGTACCACCAATCATTAAAACAAAAAAAAAACGAGGTAAAATAGAGGACAGGAATAGAAGTGCTGTCGTTCCAAAAACCTGGGACCAAGTGGCGAGATAACTTATATTTCGTATCACAGCCAGACTGTCGCGTGACGTATTTCTGGGTAATCTCCCCTTACTACTTACTATTCTGTTATGTAGTACATGCAAAATAACACCAATTATTACATAAAATCTCATCAGCTGTTAACTCTAGCTAGGAGCATTCTAATGAAAACTTGTCAGACAAACGAAAAATGATAAATCTCATTACACATCTCAAAATGATATAAAAAAAAAAACAATTCTGGGAATTACTCAATATTAGATAATTTCATAGTTAAGTAAAATGCTTATGTCAGGAACCACCAATTATTGAAACAGCGGGTGGAGTTAACTTTAACTTACCATTCCAGCATAAGTATTACCATACCCATAATACTGTGACTCCTTGCTCATAGATAAAAACAGACATGCAAATGTGTTTGAACGTCTACACATTTACAGAATTTATTTGTTCAAGCAACAAACCAGATGCATTTCAACAGATATTGAAAATGGAAGTGAATTAAGGTCTTACTTGATAGTTAACTTGGTCATACATTGCATCAGTTATGTGGCCTTGGCCATAAAAGATGAGAGATAATGAAAGTCTGTAGTAGATATGCTTTTCTGATGAACTGGCACCAATTCGTAGGGTACCTTACATTTCACATCTCTGGTCAGACTGTCATGTGAAACATTGCTTACCTTTGACGTGTGCATACATTATAGCTAAATCAAGGGCAGTTAAGTCTTGTAACGCTACGATATATTGTCAAACGTAAGCGCTGTGTACGACTACACTGTCTTCGCTATGTGACTCCATCTACATGTATCGGTAACATAATCCAAGCGGGTGACACAAAGTTCTCGACACGACCTACTTACCCAAATCATTAAACAGCAGACATTTTTGGTTGGAAGAAAATCTTTCTTGATTTAACTGAGAACTCTTTCAGCAAAACTTGTAGAATAAACATTCGATATTATGATTTTTTTTTGCAATTCTTGCAAATATGCTCAACTAATAATTTTATATTTCATTTTTGAGATGAGGAATTGTCTATATACATTTAAAGTATACGCTCGACCGAGTTTGTAGGTTATTCAATGGATAAATCTAAATATTTTGTACACAATTTTTATTTTATTTTTGGAGATAATAATGCTTTAGTGACACAGATCTTACTAATTAACCCATAGCTGGGGGTGGAGAAAAGTACGGGTTCATGCCTTTCCCTAGGGCATTTGAGCGTAAGTGAATATAACGAATCCAACTGAAATTGGAACTCTGCTCTCCAATTAACAATTCCGAACCATTAAAGATTACACCGCCTGCATATCTGAACTTACAGCACCTGATATTCCCAAGCGTTCACCCGTCTAGATACTAACCAGGACCCACGTTGCTTAACTTCGGTGCTCTTACGGGAACTGGTGTTTCGATATGATGTAGCCGCAAGCTTCACCGAGTTAGTATAAACAGGTGTAACTGGTTACCAAAATGTAATTTAATAAGCTTAGTTTTGACACAAAACCACAACTATAAAGCACCCAGTGACCTCTAACTCATTACTTAGCAATAATGGTCAACCATACGAGCTCATTGACCATTACCCCACACTGAAGTGTCACTAGGGTGCAAACGTCAGTGGTGTTGGTGAGATTAACCGTTTTCATACAGGAAACATTCGGCGTTCATTAACCGAAAAAGCGTTATAAAATTTTTCTTTGAAACAATTTTTCATGAAAATCGACTTCTCAAATCTGCTGTTATCGCTCTTTCTATAGGGTGCCCAGTAAAATAGTGGTAAATTCAGAAAGACCTGAGACAACCGTTGAAAATTGGTAACGATTGATGTGACTGAAAAATCCCGGAAAAAAAATTCTGCACATTTCGTTAATTCCCACATTAGATGTTCTTTGAAAAGTACGATAACTTGACGCTAAAAACAGTTGGCCATCCATACGAAAAGGGAAAGACTGCAACTTTTAAATGACGAGTCACAAGATCGAGCAGCAATTAATCGATCATAAAAGAACCAATCACAGTTAAGTAATTATGCGAGTATCGAATGATTATTCAAGGTCATGAGTATTAAAGAAAATTATTTTAGATTATTCAAGGTCAACTATTCCAGAAAGATAAAAAATGTGATAACTAATTTTCCGTTTATTTACTGTGCACCCTGTAGTACTGATGGGAGTTTCCCTCCTAACCTTTTTATTTAAGGTAATGTGTTAAGACATCATCTTGATTATATCATTATCTCACCTTTATGGTTACATGTACTATCCATTTCAGGCGTTGTTTTTGGCTGATTTTTTCAAGTGAATTGGGTTTTAGTTCTTCTTTGTGATTCTGTAGAACCAGTTTATAAAATCTGATGAAGGGTTGTCTTTAAGATCTGGAGGATTAATTCGCTTGATGCCACTTTTAATCTTTGATGTGAGAAAATGGTTGTCTATGGCTGATCGTTTAGACAGTTTTTGAACTAGTTGGATGCTATGCGTTACATTTTGGAGAGTTTTGGTATTATTTTATCGGAAACTTTCGAATAAAACGAACGTCAGGGATATAAGGTATAAACAAATAATATATATTTATTTGATTGGTTGATTTAGATTAGAGTGGGTCCTTTGATATTCTGTATAGAAAATGTTCATTTATAAGGCAGTTCTTGGTAGCAGTCGGGAGAAAGTCCGTCTCGATTCGGTAGTTTCGAATCGGTAGTTTCGAATCAGAATGCGGTGGGGGTCGTTGTCAATATGGTGTTTTCATCGGATCTAAGACGGACGGAGAAATGTCTTAAGCAGATGACCGCTGGTTTCTCATTCTCGCCTTGCTCAGGAATGTCAGTTTATATCTTTTTTACCAGAATCCCAGACTAATGGCGCAAACTTTGGTTTCGGCTAACATCAAATGTTTCTTTGTGTTAATTTTTTTTTGATTGGCCATAATTTATTTTATTTTTCAGCGTTCCTTTCTTTATATAACGTGTGTGTCGGGATCATATACCTAAGTTTATAACACCCACACGCACATAGGCTCCACGCATAACTCCCGCTATCTTATTTTGGTAGATCTATAGTCACAAATACGTAGACTCGCAAACTCCCAGCGTTTTTCGGCCGGGTTTAGTCTCTTTTTTTTACTCTTTTTTTTTTTAACTTTTTCTTTATTTTAGGGTTGCCTTCTCATTAGGAGAGAGAGAGAGGAGGTGTAGGGTTTAAAGGAAAGCGCAAATGTCATATTTATTTTGAATTCTTTTTTGTTATTTCGTCTATTATATTATTTTTTGATCGGGAATCGCTATAACATCCATATGAGTTTATATCTGACGGGGCTATTTACGAGTTGTTAATATTTTAGGTTTTGTAGAATTTTGTAATGTTGGATAAAACTGTCCCTAGTGAAACCTATCTTGTGTTCAATTTTCTTATTTACTAAATTTATTATAACTGATCCATACGCTGATGTCTTCGAAGTGTTTGGTATTTACTAAATCCACATTCCAAATTTTTAAAATAGGTTCAGGGGAGGTATCATTACTACTTTCTTCCCAAATCCAAATCATAGTTTCTGTTTTGCAAAATTTTATCTTGAGTCCTATTTTCTTTTCTTTTTTTCTTTTCACCTTCTATACTAAATTGGTTATAACTGATAGTGTGGGAAGAGAAAACAGAGCAGCCGATACTAAAATGAGTACATATTAAAGAATTCTCTCTGAGGGACTGCTTTCTGAACTTGGCTTGTTAAAGGGTCTAAGCTTCTTAATTTGCACTAAGACTGATAAGAAAAAAAAAAAAAACAATAACATTTCAATTGTTTTTTTTTTTATGGGGGAGAAAAGGCGACAAACACTTTTTATCTCATTTTTTTCAGCTCCGGAAAGTTACTTGTATCCCGGATGTTGACGTTAGCCTATCATTGATAACTTGTTTGTACAATATTTGAAAAACACATATTATTCATCGGGATGTCGTAAACATCTTACCTCTGCGGTCAGTCGGTCTCTTCACGACACTTTCATGAAATGAATTGAAAGGTTATGTTATTTTAGAGAGCAGTCGATAAACACTGACTGGCTTAAATCTGACCGCCTGGACGTTCTCTACGGATAGTAACACTTATCACTCGTTGGGCGTTTAAAGGCAGAAAAAAAGGGGAAAATTACTAAAATAGGAGCCAACAGAAAAGACCAAACGACAAGTCCGTTCCAGTTCTCCTGCTGTGTTTTTAGTTTTTCTTCATAATACCTCGATATTCTTTGTTTTATTTTCGGCATTTCTCTCTGTATTGGGGCTGACATAGTTAACAGCTTACATATGTAATAATAATTTTACTATTTTTAGTAAGTCCTATTTTTTCCTATTTTATTTTATTTTCTTTTAGCATAAACAAAGAAAAATAATAGATGTCTTTTACTTTCCCCGCTTCGTATTTTTCAGTGTTTATTTTGTATTAATAACCGTTTCGTTTTAAAACTGTAATTTTTTTTTATGCTAATTGGAAACATTTAAATAATAATCGTAATAATGCCAATATTTGAAGTCGTTTCTATTTGAAGTATTTTTGTCTTTTTATGGAATACTAATCATGGATTTTCCTTAGCTGGTATTAAGTTTAAAGTAATCTGTGAATGTTATATATTCAGTCGAAATATCCGGGTAAGTTGGACTTTTGTTTTTTCCCGTTATGAACAAGTTGAGCGTCGATTTCATTCTATCGGAATCTACTTGTAGATTAATGTAGAATAAATCCGCTTCGTTTTTGAAACAACGAGCTGGAGAAAATCTCTCTTTCTGTTTAGTTTACTGAAAAAGCAGAAATTAATAACTATTTTTACAGCTCATTTCTAGTTTTAAAGCGTTTAATAAATGATTCTTCTTTGTTCGGTAATTAACTAATTATTGATTTCTTTGAATTTGGTCGTTTACTTTTTTGAGGATCAATTCTTTTCGGTATAGCCATGCTTTATTTAAATTAGTTATTCTTCACGTGTGTTGGATGATTTTTTTTTCATTTTGCGCAGAAATTATTTTAAAAAAACACTTCAAGGACTTTCAAACTTATTAGGACTACATAAATACTTGTCTGCTTTTTATTGGGATATATTTCAGCAATGTATTTTTTTTTAATCTCATTTTACTAAATTTTGAAAATTTAGCCTGATTTTACACGATTATTTTTTTTCCTCATAAGCAACTTAAGATTGTCCCAGTACACGTGTTTACTAATTTTTGCATAAAAATTAGTACTTGAGTTACTTAAATCTTTTTATACCTACGTAAAAGGTCAAACATTTCAGTTGAACTAACAGAATTGGTAGATTTCTTGAATATGAAAATAACACACTTTTTAACTTTAATGATGTAACCTTTTTTATGCTTAAGCCACACTTGCGTTTGTGAAAGGGATTGCTTACGGATATTTAGACAAATTTGAGTACAGTTCTTTTTTGTTTTTTTTTGTTTTTAATCGTATCCATAACTCTTTCGATCCTATTGCTCTACGTTCCTAGGAAATGTCTCTTAATACCAGTTGTTAATTTCTGTACCGTTGGCAGATATTTCCTGCACCCCACAAAAAAATCTTTGTTTAAAACCGCACATTTAAAAGATAATTTTATAATAAATTAAAAGTATCCAAAAGTCATTGGCCAATCTTCTTACGTGGTAAAAATAAGAATTTTCCCTTTGATTTTTAGTTTGATTAAAAAAAGAAAAATAAGGGCTCTTGTTTGAGTCGTTTGCCTTTTGTTTGTCTTTTTTTTATTACTTATTTTTCCATTTCCTCGATAACTTTTTAGGATCTCTGTCCGGTTTAAGCTATTTTCGGATGATTATCCACCCAATGTCGCTTAACTTTGAGGATAATAATATAAAAAGAAAAAAGGGTGTTTCTTATATTCCCATATTACGCTTGGCACTGCAGCATTTCGCTTTTGAGGCTTTGAAAAAAAATTATTTTCTACTAATCGTGAAGCTTGGCTAACGCACTTTTCACCTCATTTTTTTCCTTTTATTTTTGCTTAAAAATATTTCACCATTGATTACCAACCTTTTAACTTATTTATTACACTTAAAAACATCAGTTTCTTTCGAAAATTTTATATAAGTTACTCTACTCAACTGTGGTTAATGTTTTCGTGTTTTAATTGCATGTTATCTCGATATTTTTAACGGAATTAACTTTATTGCTTCAAACACTAAGTGACTAAGGTCTCACAATCCACAGGGGCCTAAAAAAAACCTTACCCTTTATGAGAGATCTTTTGACTTAATTCATCTTTTTTTTTTTTTTTTTTTTTTTTCATTTATTTATTTTAACAAGGAACCTCCAGTTTTCATAGCTTAAGGCCTCACCAATTGTGAATCCGGTACTGTACAGACCGGGTTGCTTCTTTTGGAGTTTTAAAAAACAGCTAGGGATTTTATCCTTTCGAGTTCAGAATTACAGCCCACTTGCTTCAGTTCAGTCTGTTCGTGTCTACACAATATTTTCTGTTTCACTTATCCAGTGTAAGGCAATGCGCTAATCCTTGAAACGATTTAATAAAAAAAAACTGTTGGATTAACTTCTGTTAAATAGCGATTACACAGGATTATCCTCTCTATCCAGCGTAATACTTTCATTTATTCACCTGCCTTTTTTTTTCTATAATTCTGTCACTGCTTTCGGTATTGTTGGTAGTAGTAAAGATTCATTAACCTTTGAGACTGTCGAATCCGCTGTGGCCTCAATGACACCCCATTGAAAATAAACACGCTGACTCGCTCGCTCTCACTTTTCTCAGACATAAACACTTGAAAACACAACAGCAAACGACAGCAACGAACAGAACAGGTTAATGTTAGGGCGTTCAGTGTACGCCATTAGCAAAAGCGGAAACAACAATCCGAATGAACTGAGGCCAGACTTTGCGTGTTTATTTGGTGCGTGCCTCTTACGTTTACTTGTTGTTGCAAACTAGTTGGACTTACAACACCGGGCAGCTGTGAAGCGGACGATGTTTCGTACAGGATGAAGGCGACTGCGTTGCAATGTTGTGATTACCGATGGCTGGTGAAGGATTTTCAAAGTCGTAGGATGATCAGGAAGAATCGAAAATCTTCCGGATTAACGAGGTTTGTCTGTCTTCTCTCTCGTTCTCTTAATCTTTTTTTTTTGTTTTTTGCTATATTTTCCCCTTTTATTTTGACAATAATCAATTTCTTTTCCATGTCTGTTTGTTCTATATATTTTTCTCACGTTAACATGTAATATATATATATATATATATATATATATGTATATATATATATATATGTGTGTGTGTGTTTCTCACGTTAATACATTACTCTACGTTTTTTTGTGTGTACAATATACAGGAAATGTGGAATGTTTACATAAAGAATTACAAATGTCGACATTAAAAGTCTGAAATTACTTTTATTCTCAGTCGAGAAAAATTCTAGTTTATTCACACCGCAAATATTACCTATTATTTGTTTGTAAATAATTTCCGGTGTTCCAAAAACTATTGATAATATTTTTTTTTAATCTCTCTCTCTCTCCCTATAAGAAGTTGAAAATGCAACTGGAGTCTTTAAGAATATTTATTCACAGTAAATTTACCAGTTTCACAGTTCTGGTTTTAAAAAGTTACAGTGAGATGAATAGTTGTGGCTATGCCGTGATGTGTCTCGCATCTAACTGAAGTTAAATATTCTTAAAGACACCAGTTGCATTTTCAACTTGTTTATTTGAATATATATATATATATATATATATATATATGTGCACACACATATACAAGTATAGGATTGGTATATACGGAATAAATTCCAATAACCAAAAATACTATTCTTAAAAGTGTGCTCAATACAGAGTAGAGCAAATATAATTTATTCGAAAATTATAACATAAACATGTTATAAATTCACAAGTGATGATGTTGAATGTAGAATAGTTTTTTTAAACTCTTTATTCATTCTACATTCAACACCATCAATTGTGATTTTATAACATGTTTGTTATAATTTTCGAATAAATTATATAATGTGAGCATTACATTAATATTTGGAAAGAGTGTGTGCTTGAATAGAATTTTGTTGGAGCTTGGATAAGGCCTGTCGTAAGTATTTTCAATGTTTGTGGGCAGCCTTTTAAGTCAAGGTGGCCTCGATAATAATTTGCATATTAAAATTAGTTCAAATCATTTTCATAGTGACGGAGGTGCAAAAGATTTTCTGAGAGAAGTCCCCCCCCCCAGGCCTCCCCTTGGCGACAGATCTGGTACACACACACACTACAAATTGACAAATTATAAGTCTTTAATTTCGTTGCTTTGTTGCAAAGTCGTCCTAGACACTATATATATATATATATATATATATATATATATATACAATTATTTAAAAAAAATGATTCCTTCGCTATATAAGAGTTCTCATGTTTCAAAAACGAGAGCTGAAAACCTCAATATAATTATTAAAATTAAATTAAATATCAAGCCCTGTTTCATCCTCAAGCGAAAATTTAGGAATAACCAATCTTGAAATTTACGCATCTTTATAAGCATGTTTAACTCATGTCTATGGTTTAAAAGTTTCTAAATAATGAAAATTTATTAAACCATAGACATGCGTTAAAGGTTTTTTTGCTGACATCAACAAATTTTCGCATTAAATAATTAGCATAAAAAAAAAATTAAATTTCATTGTCTCATAAAAGCTTAACCCAATCATAAGATAGAAACACCCTTTATGAAGTCGTCAAAAAAACAAATTGTAGTTCAGTGCAACGCGTTTATGTACGAAACAGCCCTTTAGGAAAAATAACAAAACAAATTTTCGCATTAAATAATTAGCATAAAAAAAAATTTCTGCATATATATTGGTTGTAAAGTGGTTGTAATCTCCATGAGACTCTGATTAAGGGAAAAATAAGTGAACATATTATTATTCATGTTCTATCTCTTGATATTGAGCACTCTAATTTCAGAGACTGCTTGCCTTGAAAAACGTTATCTACCAGAAATACCCCGGTCAAACATTAAATTTTTTAAATCTTTAAGGTACGACAGGACTAGCTCCCACATATACCGCTCATCTAATGGTAACACATTAGTGGCAATGGTGTCTTCATCGAGCTAACGTCTTACCATTGTTTTGGTGGTATTTTCTGCTCTCTCTTGTATAATTGTATAAGTGTGACAGTAGAAGTGCTTCTCTATATGTAAATAATAATGTAAGTTTTAAAGAGTATCATGCTCGTCTCAAAGCAAACTTAGACATAGTGCGCCATATTTTGGTGAGGTGTTTTACTTTTATCTCACACGTTTTCTCTGTTTATTTCTTTGACTGTGCATAGGTTTTGTTTCGTTCAGTATTTTATATATTTAGTTATCTTGGATTCGGCATTGTACGAATGTTTATATTTATAACCTTTTCTATTTCTGAAGAGTTTAATGGATTTATTTTTAATCCGACATTTTTTATACTTCAATCTATAATAACTACAGTGGACGATTCGTATTTGATCTGTCCAAATTATCTCCTCCTAATTTCTGACCCCCACTACTTGGGGGAGCTATCCCTAAACTATATATACTTAAGAAAACTCTCTCTCTCTCAGCGAACAACGACCATGTAAGCTCTCGCAGAAAATATAGCGTTCTCTTCTTGTAGAAACGCCATGAACATCACACACACACACACACACTCATTTCTTGGAACCAACGGTCCGCTCGAATGCGTAGGCCTATAGACGTAATATACACTGTTTATCGTGAATTCTTGATTGATTTGTTTTTTACGCTTTATCAATCTTTTGCAGCCTTTTAAAGCCAGAAAATATTTTCGGTTTGTAAGATTTTTTTTTCTTTTAGTTAATAATGATTTACTGATACAAGTCTTACTAATTAACCCATAGCTAGGGAGATAAGCGTTGGATTCATACCTATCCCCATTGGTATTGCATTAAAATGAATAAAACGAGCCCAACTGAAATTGGAACTCGGCTCTCATATTTCCAAGTCCTAGTCGTTAGCCATTACACAACACGCACGTCTAAACTTACAGCATCTGGTATTCCCAAAAGACCACTCATCTAGGTACTGACCAGGTTCAATGTTGCTTAACTTAGGTGATTGTATGAAAATCGGTGTTTCAGTGTGATATCGCCATAAGCCTACACACCATTTAATAAAAATGGGGCGTCTATCCACTATATAATCATTTTTGAAGTAATAAAAACCTTGTTTTAACATATTTATATTCATGAATAAGGATATCACATCGAAAACATGTCAAAATCGCTACACAACTTCAATCGTGTTTCGATGCGTATCAATGCATCTCATCAGGCGATTACTGGCAAGTGTACGATTTATTTTGCTTTTAAATCTAAATAAATTGTTCATTTGCCAGTAATTTACAATCGCCTGATGGGATGCATTGATACGCATCGAAACACGACTTCAATTTTGTAGCGATTTTGATATGTTTTCGATGTAATATTCTAAAATAAAGAATATTGCTCTACTTTGTATTGAGCCTTCTTTAAAATTAAATGTTACGAACGTTGGAATTATACTCTTTTCGTTCTCATCTATATATATATATATATATATATATATATATATATATATATATATATATATATATATATATACACACACACACACACACACACACACACACACACACACACACACTCTCTATCTCGTTGTGGATAGTTCGTATATGTCTTCTGATGAACTTTACTAATGCAGTCTTTTCTTGTGTGAGCTTTTATTTATTTGGATCAATACAGCCTGAACCTCACTAAACCGGAACGTTATAATGCCGTTAGATGAACCAAAAATTCATAATTATTATTATTATTCCTCCTGTTGTATACACATTCTTTCTGTGTCCCACCCATTGATCTCAGGTCAGAAATGGCTTCATGACATCTCCACTGATCATTTTTGTAAAACAAAAAAAAAAACTAAGACCATTCACATTTTACATCAAGCTCTTCGTAATGTGTGAGCTGTACTTGTCAGTACAATTTTTCTTTTATTTCTTTAAGGCATGAAGTACCAGGAATCCCTTCAATGAGTTCATCGGAATTATTATTAATTATTTTTACCGCACAAAAATTATGTTTCATGGCGTACAGGACGCAGATAGATTATTTCTTCTATGTGCCGTGTCCCTTTTAGAATGTTGGTATCATGGCTCCCCACAATTTCTTACCATTTGTAACTTTTAATAACTTTCGTCTTACCCTTTCTCTGACCATTCATTTACACAAGCTCACCTGATAGGTCATGCGTTGCTTTCCTCTGTCTCTCTCACGTTCAATCTGTCCTGTGAGTATCAATTTACCAAGCCCTTTTTCTTCATTATCTGTTCCAGAAATCAAAATATTGGCTTAGATACAGTGCTGGACTTATCTATAAGCTATAGATTAGGGTCACACATCGGGGGAGGGGGATTTCATTTTTTTTTTTTTTTTTTTTTTTTTTAATATATTTTAATTTTATCATTAGTTTTTATTCTTTAACACTAAATCAAGTTAAAAGGAATGTTTTTTTTCACAAATTTAATTTTGTAATTGTTAATAAATAATAATTATATTTTTTTTATTTTATTTACTCGAATCTTTTTCGTGAAGGGCATCGTATTTCATATAGCTTAGGGCCTCAGCAGGTGAAAGTTCAACCCTGCTTACACAGTGGGTTTACTTTTTTTTTTCTTTTTTTTTTTTTCTTTTAATATCGAACACAAGACATTATTTTTTGTTTTTTCTTTCGTTGGAGGAGTACGTTTACTATGCCGTCAATTTTTTTTTCTTACTGTATTAATATTCGGAATCTCATTGGGAACGTATAAAAATTCCAGTCTCATGTCAAAAAGCTATATAATACGAAGACCGGTCTCAAGACTGCAGGCCGAAGAGAAAAAAAAAACAAAATTGGGCAGTTCATTTTGATGCTGTACAGTGCACACAATTGATTTCATACGTATGTCTATATTTTCGTAAATAATCCCCTAAAGGTAACATATTACAAAGCCTTGATCGCAACAGATGTAAGGATATACGGAGCTTTTGATATAAAGTCGTGAAAAGCTTAAAACATCGTGCGGACTTTTACCGTTGGATTAATTTTTCTACACTTTAAACAAAACATTGAATATTAAGAGTTAGTATATAAACAGTTTTGTTTTCATAGTGGCATTCTGATCGTATATATATATATACATATATATATATAGATACGCACTTTTTATATTTTTCATATTATTCGGGCTATTGTCAACATCTGTGTTTTATATACAATGTTTTGATTTATTTACAATCTTTAGTCTTAAAGTTTATTTGTCTGCAAAGTGTCCTTGTTTCTTTCTTCTTGATCAGGGTAACAACGTCAAATTTTCAATTATTATAAGAAAGCTCTCTATTCAAGACATAGACGATCAATGGCTCTCCACAACTTCCTGTCCTCTGCAACAGATCCTGATCAGTCAACTTAAAAAACGCTAAGTAATCAAATCCAGGCCGAATGATTCGCTGCCCACCCCAAAAAAGAGGAAAGCGAAAAGGGCTAAAGATCAAAAGACTCGCCAGCAATTAAATTATTAGTTTTTGTTAGTCTTTCCTTTTCTCTTGTAAACTGTGAGTAATGACATTTACCAAAATTTAGGACCTTCGGCTGATTCAGATACTTGTCCGTTTCTGTGACCATTTCAATTAATAGAAATTTTACTATGAAAACAAAAATCCGCAAAATGTACTTTTTTAAGTTTTAGTACAATTATGTTGTTTCATTATACTAAACGTAAGTATGACTAATTAGCTAGGCAGCTTTGATATTTTACTCTTTGATAATCAAATAACCATTAGTTTGACTTTTGGGGACCCGTGAGTGAGTCAGATTCAATTTTGTGTGATTAGTCAGTTGGGCAAAGGTTATATACCTACCTATTGTTGTCTGTTCGTTATAAAGTCAGTATTGTTATGACTATATATATATATATATATATATATATATATATATATATATATATATATATATTTATATATATATGATCATTTTTTTATGCAAAAAAATAGGCACTCACAGGATACAAGGTAATTTCTTTGAAGAGGTTAAAAATAATGCATTTTCTGCAACCGGTTGCATTATACACAGGTAATCTTTTCTGGTGGGTTAAAATTCATGTAAGTAAAAAAAAAAAAATAATAATTCAGGGGTATATATGAAGTTGGTTTATACGCGGTAATGAAAATACGCCGTAACACGAGACTAAATATCTAACGTTACGTTTTATTTAAGTCTGGTGCAGTACGTCCTGGATTATCCGGACACCTTGGGATAGAGGTTGGGGGGGAGGGAATACGGTAGGGTACTTCAAAATACGGTAGGGTACTTCCGGGTAACTCAATACTTAAATCATCGTAAAAATTTTTTAAAACAATTAAAAAAAATGAAGAAAAGTTATTTTCTGAAATAAATTTAACATTTATATAATCAAATATTTTCAAATTCTTTTTTCAAGGTCTGGCTTATTATTTATTTATTTTTTTATTTATTTTTTTTTTTTTTTGAAAAAAAAAAAAAACAAACACGTCAGTTTTTTGTTTTCCGACTGGCCTCGCGTTTTTCTGCTCTTAATTTCCAAAGCTGAGAGTTCTGCAAGTCATAATCTCTGGTATGACTAAACTTCGATTATTCAAAATGTATGTTATTTAGTATGTAAACAAGGACATTTAACAAGATAACAATTGAACTGATTTTACCATCGTTTTTATCAAACGTTGAATATGGTTTTCTAAATGCCCAAAACGCTTGTCTGTGATGGAATATTAGAATTGATTTAGTAGGGATAACTGAAAAATGTTTCAATTTTTCTCTGCATTTCACGTCCAGGAAATCGAGGTAGTACTATACTTCGTCAGTTACTTTCGGCTAGTGTGTGGAATGGGAGAAGGATGACCACGGAGCCTTCATCCGGACGTGAACAATTCTCGTGTACGATGTCCGGGAGAGACTGCCCGCTTAACGTTGGTTCAGATGTTCATATCCGTATCTGTTTGGCGACGCTTTCAACCTCCGTTTAGCTGGTCTGGTCATGTGAATCTGGACTCGGCGGCTGAAAGGCTACCTCAGGTCAACTCTGTATCTGGGTCTTTTGATGGTCTGATGTAACAGTGATACAGAATTTATTCTGACGTGATGTCATGGAATGCGCATACACACACGACATGATTATTTCCATAACGCCAAAATTTACCAATGAATTGAAATGATATTTTTTTGGAAGGAAGGACCATGGGCTTATTTAAATTTCGGAATAAGTCTGAAAAGATATATATATATATATATATATATATATATATATATATATATATATATGTGTAACAGCAAAATTGTTCAAATCGTGTAACAGCATGGGATAATTTTCTATACCACAAAATGTTTAATACCTAAAAAAAAAAAACTATACTAATTGAGTTTCTTTTTTCCAGGTTTTCAGATAAGACATTTAACCATCTTGGCACCATTTGTCGTAAGAATCACTGAAAACCCCTTTGTGTTATTCAGCTAGAAAGAGAACAGGTTAAAATCATTTTGTTGTCAGCCCCATTGTCTTCTCAACTGAGCAATGGTAAGAGGAAAAAGATCATTCAGGCCTTCAGTAGAGGTACCAACATTCATACTCTGCCGCCCAACTTTAAAGTCCATTCAAGAACCATCAAGAGAACAGTGACTAAGTTTTAAAAAGAGTGAACAGTAGAGTGGAAATCTAGACTAGGAGGTCACAGCAGCAAAAAGAATCCTCATTTCAACTTAGTGATAAATACATTCTTATTGTTCAAAGTAGATTCCAATAGTGTGATATCAACCCTCCTTTATATAGTAGTGGATGCTGAACAATTTTCTCACTGATGAAGAGGAAACCTGAGATGTAGCTCTCCAGAATGATGCTGAGAATACTATAAATGGAGCGCGTAAGGACAATAGACACAGCCTGATCAGCCCCTAGATGGGTGACCACTTGAGAATAACAGGTGCTGTCAGCTTGGATGTGCTGGTGGTGTAATGCTTAACTGCTTAGAATTTGGAGATCGGAGAGTTGGATTCACTGAACTGCAACTACCCTTAGGAAATGTATGAATCCACATCTCCTTCCCGC